AAAAAAAAAAAAAAAAAAAAAAAAAAAAAAAAAAAAAAAAAAAAAAAAAAAAAAAACGGGAAAACAACGTGAAGGAACAAGGAAAGGGCAGAAAATCTTCATGGAAAAAGTGAAGATCAAAGAAAAAATCACAAAGATAGCTGTATATTGCCGATTGCACAAGTTAAACAAGAAAAACGAACAATGAGTTCGATCCAACAAATTTTTTTTAACCGAAAGAAAACCAATTTCGACTATCAATCAGACTGAAATCTCTCTATCTGCTAGGCATTCAAAAAGACAAGAGCAACCGATTAGACAGAAACAAAGATTCAATAAATCAGGCAACATCCACATCGCAAACTAGAACAGATTGATCGAATACGCAATTAAAAGAGACGGAAACAGAAACGAAATTGAAGAAATAGAGAAATCAGATGTACTTGAAGGAAGGGATGGAATTGTAGAAGACGTCGATCCATGAGAGCTCAATGGGCGTGGGCTTGCGAGGATTATCGGAAGGGAAACGGTAAGGGATGGTGCAGGCTCTGTAATTGGACTCAATCGGTGTGAGCAGCAGTGGAAATGGCACTAGCTCCGATGCGCTCTCCATCTCCGGCGAGCTAAGATGTGATGCGACTGCGATCTTGGTAGCTTCCCGAGGTTCTTCGCTTGAAACGCAGGCTCATGCAGAGCAATCGAAGCAGCAGAGGGAAGAGGAAAATCGGACTACGCTGCGAGAGGGAAATATTATGAAACGACGTGTCGTTTTATGTATTTATATGATCCGCTCATAGTCCTCCTCCTTCCTTTATGTAATGTTGTTGATATTACTTAATTATTAATAATGCTATAGTTTATTAATTTGACAAATTTTAACTTTAATTGATGTTTATTAGCGTGATTAATGCTTTAATTAATTTAGTTAACCACAATTAGCCACATGTTAATAACTCCACTCTTACTCATTTATTAATATGTCAACGTCGGCATAGTTCAACTAGTTAAGATATATGCTCTCGATTAATAGATCAAATATCTAAATTTCGGACCTTCATATGATGTTAAATTCAACAAATAAAAACATTAACACGGTGGAATATACAATTTTTTTGCAAATTTAAACCTCAACAACGTGACAAGTCTTTCAATTAAGGAAGAGACGTAACTTCTAAAAATGAGGACCAAAATGAACGTAAAATGACACCAAGTTATCTTACCCCGATTCGAGTATAGCTTAGTCGATAAATACATCAATTAACCCCTACAACAGCTAACCTTAAAGAATATTTTTGACTATGTAAGGACATTTTTCTATTCAACAGGTGGGATTGAAGATTTAAACTTTTGACCTTCTGGTCGATGGTGCATGTCTAAATCAGTTGAATTTTTTCCTAAACCGAACATAACTCAACAAGTTAAAAGTACATGCTCTCGACGACCAAATAATCAAATATTGCATATTCCTAAAAGAAAAGTCATCTTACCAAAGACAACCGAAATTGGATATAACTCGATAACTAAGATACAAGATCTCCGATATACATATAAATATATTTCGACACATATTTTTGCATATTTTGATCTCAGGAACCGTTCCAAACAATCCTATAAAAAAGAAAAGCTTCAAATACCTTCTGAGTTTGCAAGCTTGTGTTGAAGATGATTGGGAGTGAGTCCCACATTGGACAATATCATACCATTGTGGTGAGTCGTAATTCTAACCGCTTGGCCCTCCATCGACCAGTTCTAACAAAACACAGAAGCAATAAAGCAAGAACATAGCCATATTGCATCAAAGATATTGGTTTCAAGATTTCACAAGCTACAAGTGCATAAGACAATGTTTAAAAACGTAAGAACATGGCTTGCAACATAAATAAGGTAAAATCATATGATTTGTTGTAAGGCTAAGCACAAGGGGGAGGGATTTGGGTGCCAATATACTTGGCTCTAACATATTTGCAAGTAGAAGAAGGGTGATTTTGACCTGATGAAAGAAGCAAGTGAACATTTTCAAGGTTCACATTCTGACATGGGAATCCCTTGCTGCATTCTAATGCCACAGCCACCTTAGAGGAAGAGGTTCCTTTTATGTTCTTGAAGTAAATATCACTCAGCTTCACTAGAGATGGTGCCTGTTCAAAATGAATCACGTTCATATAATCATTTTTTGCAATGATTTTGAAATTTGTTTGGGAAATGATCTTTTATGAACCGAACTTTCAAAAAAAATATCTTAAGATAATAAACGAACTTGAGAGTCTGAGGACTAAAATGAGATATAAACGAACTTGAGAGTCTAAGGACTAAAATGATGAGATATAAACGAACTTGAGAGTCTAAGGACTAAAATGATGAGATATAAACGAACTTGAGAGTCTAAGGACTAAAATGAGATATAAACGAACTTAAAAGTCTAAGGACTAAAATGAGATATAAACGAACTTAAAAGTCTAAGAACTAAAATGAGATATAAACGAATTTGAAAGTCTAAGAACTAAAAACGAGATATAAACGAACTTGAAAGTTTAAGAACTAAAATGAGATAAAAACCAACTTGAAAGTCTAAGGACTAAAATGAGATATAAACGAACTTAAAAGTCTACGGACTAAAATGAGATATAAACCAACTTAAAAGTCTAAGAACTAAAATGAGATATAAACGAACTTGAAAGTCTAAGGACTAAAATGAGATAAAAACGAACTTGAAAGTCTAAGCACTAAAATGAGATATAAACTTAACGGATATTATACCGTTACTGTTCTCACGTGAAGAAAACTTTGCAATCACTTTTTTGAAAAAAGAAATATATACGTTGAGAGAGCACTGACATACCTTAAAAGAACAAGATCTGAATGGACAGTATGATTGATCAATTATAATTGGATTGGACACATTGTTCATGGCGAAGTTCTTAAATGTCATGTTTGTGGCTGAGCTGCTGCCAGGAGAATTTGGCCATGTCTTGATTCTGATCCCATTGGTGGTACCTGTGAGGCTACAATTTTTAACTACTAATCCGCTTACATCTCCTTCATTTTGATATCTTCCCAAGCTTCCAACACTGCAATGAACAAAACACATGTTGTCCAGAGTGCTGTTTCTAGTAAGCTGAATACAAGTTCATGATGACAGAAGCATAATACTTGTTGGCAGCAATCTATATACCTGATCCCATGACCCGGTCCACAATCAATGCCGGTGATTGTGACTTGAGAGTTCCCTTGTCCAATGGATATGCAGTCGTCTCCAGTTTGAATATGTGATCGAGAAAGATGGATGTTAGAGCTTCGGTCGATGTGGATACCATCCGTGTTGGGACTATTTGCTGGAGCTGAAATCTTGAGATTGCTACCTCTGAACCCCTTGCACTGTACTAAAGCCAAGTGAAAGAACTTGCTGTTTAGCGAAGTTATGCGTCGTACAACCGTGTTATTCATAGCCACGAATTTCAAGTTCTGAAAAAGAACTGAATCATTGTAAGAATCTTACTGATGTTACAAATGGCAGCAACAACAACAGCAACAGAACAGTTTTGCAAATCCTAATATTTTAAGGCATGAGTTTGAAATGATTCTTTGAAATAATTTCACTAGTCCTTACAATTTCTAATGTTTCAAGACACGAATTGGTTAAGAATCAAACAGAACAAAATGTGGAATGGAACTTACAGTAGGAAGGAGATTGCAATTGTGGTCATCAAGGCAGTTGTTGAATGGCCACGCCTCAGCGCCTCGGCCATCGAAGGTTCCACCTCCCGTCAACGTTAGCCCCTCCACCCATCTGAACTCAATCCAGCCTGCGCCAGAACCATACTTTGACAGGTCTGTTGATGCTTTCAAATATCCCTGCAAAAGAAAATTCGAGCTCAAACCAAACGGATTCGACGTAAAAAGACGAAAAAACGTAGAAGATTAGACCCTTGCCTTCATTTTAACCGTTAGAGATGATACATTTTTGCAAGGGCCTGAAAATTTAACTGGACCAACCAAATAGGTTCCTTTTGGAATCAGGAAAGTTACCACTCCAGCTGAACCACAGGCCATCCTCCATGTTTGTGAGAAGGCCTGAACACGAGGAAATGAAAACTTCTGAAAAGTGTTCTTAATCTTTTACTCTTTTAAGGGTGTGTTTGAGAGCATTTTTTGCAGGACCAAAACCACTTCCTACTCAAGAACATCATAATATATTGTTGAGTTTAGAAAACAAAACAAATTGGTGTATGAGAAATCGTACATATATAGTAACTTTTAACCCTGTGATTGTTAGGGGAGCACCTAAAACCCCTTTTAAGAGGATTGAATCAAACATAAAGTAATGAATCAAACTCTCCATTTGGAAGGAAACTGGTTATTCATTTCCAGCATGCAAGAAATTGAGCTAAGTAGCAGAACACATGTGACTCAACAATTCTAAATATGAGTATACAGCTAGTGGAAATCCTGATGAACAATGAACTTAACGGAAAAGCAAAAAATGGCACAAAAATTACAGGAAATTGCAGCAGCGACGAGGCTCAACGGGTGAAGGGAGAAACAGAGATTAAGGTATTCGGTTCATCAAATAAAATCTCAAGGAAAATCAACACAAACAAACATAGAACAGACATTGCTATCATCAGTTAAGCCATTTGCTCGAGCACCAAAGCTTCTAACACTGAAAACACGAGAACTCTTAGCTCTGTAACGCAATAAGCTTCCCGAAATGTCTGCTTCCAATATTCCTCTACTAAGAACTGAGCTAAAACAGGAAGATGAGAGCACCAAGAACAGTGTGGTGCGAAAGGGGAAATTCATGCTAATTGCTTAACAGCCTTGCTTCTGCTCAGTGAAATTGAAATCGGAAGAGATTGTTTTAACTTACCGATTCGTGAATGGAAGAGTATTTGGCTTTAAATTCGCAATCGGAGATGCTGAGAAAATGGAGGCGATTTTGAATTCGCCATTGTTAACTGTCGCCAACTCCTTTCCCCCCACTAAGTCTCTGGTTGTTAACCGTCGCAGGAATGGAAAAGAGAAATAAATCGACCATCGCTCCGGCAACCGGAAGCTCGTCGGACCGCCAGACCGGCGAGGAGGTTGAGATTGGGCGTTACTTGGAAGAACTGCAGGGAGATCGTGTGCCTTGCGCGCCATGATTCTTGTTGATTCATGCAATACGGAAGATTCTCTCCTATTGTATTCATCCATTCGTAATTTAGAGAATTGATTCGTACTTTAGAGAATGATGATGAGTTTATAATAAAAAAAAATACTATTATATTCAAAGTAAAAAATATCATTTCGTCTAACGTTAAAAACATATTATTGTTACTAATTTAATAGTATAATTTAATCCTAATTTTGTTTCGATTTCAAATTTATAAAGTCATATTTATTTTATTTAAATGAAAAAGGATAATTTTGTCAAAATGGAGGCATTTTAACCGATTTTGAGCAAGAGCAAGAGCACCTTCTCGTGTTTAACTCTAGAATCCAATTGCTAACTTATGACTAGCTCACCTTGTTAAGTAATATATCTTCGATTAATGTTAAAGACTCGAGTCACCATACATCTAGATTGTCTTAGCTCGTAGTTAGCTAGATAAACATTTGAAACGAATGAATATGAAAAATGACATCACATTGTAGCTCATAATTTTACACTATTAGACGTGAGAGAAACTTAAGTACATTGAATTTATCGTTCGTGGTTATTATAGAGTATGCAAGATTTAGGTTATTCTCATTCATCTGGTATTGCAGACGATCGCATTGAATAATTTGTTCTCATTTTAGATCGAGGATGTTCGTAAAACCTATGGTCATTATAACAACTAAAACCCACCGCTAACAGATATTGTCCGTTTTGGCCTATTACGTATCGTCGTTAGCCTCACGGTTTTAAAACGCATCTACTAGGAAGAGGTTTCCACACCCTTATTATAAAGAATGTTTCATTCCCCTCTCCAACCGATGTAAGATCTCACAATCCACGCCCAGTGTCAGGCACTGATATCATTTGTAACAGCTCAAGTCTACCGCTAAGAGATATTGTCCGCTTTTACTTAAAAAAGAAATATGAGTGGTGGGTTTGGGCCGTCACAATCATACTCTTTCATCTTCAAGTAGTTCGGGTTTTATGCATTTTCAGAGAAAGAGAAGAGAAGAAGAGAAGAGAAAAGAGAAGTCTAACTCTAGAGGGCCTGGAGGTTGATTTATTCACTAAATAAATGGAATGGAATGATTAATAAAAGGGCTAGCATCATGATAATGTAGCAAATAATTACCTACATGCACATCTTAGAAGCTATCAACCCTAATCATTTTGCTTTGTAAAAAATTATAAGAAGCTTAAGAGGAAGAACATGGCACAAACAAACAAGACAATACCTTTTTCTATAACTATGTCAGCCTCATTTTTTTGCCTTTGCAAACCTAAGGCATCGGTACTTTTCACCACTTACAGTAATTTCAAGAGCTCCATCTTGATTGTCTTGATTTGATGCAGTTCCCATAAGCACACTTTTTTCCTTTTCCAGATTTTCCTTCTCCATCTTCAACCTCGCTTCTTGTCGGGCGATCTCGGCCTAAAAGAGCAGAGGAAAAAAGGAAATCAAAACATGATGAGAAGCCATCTTTGGTTTCACATTTATCATTATCATTGTTTTCAGCAGTAGAAGAAGTTTTCTTTTTAGAAGGATGAATGGGTCAATTGATTGAAGCACAAAAAGGGGAGGAAAAACATTAATCAAGCACCTCTTTACTTGAATTGTTCTATTGACTACTCGATACAACCAGTATATGTGAGATCCCACGTCGGTTGGGGAGGAGAACAAAACATTCTTTATAAGAGTGTGGAAACATCTCCCTGGTAGACGCGTTGTAAAAACCTTGAGGGAAAGCCCGAAAGTGAAAGCCCAAAGAGGACAATATCGGCTAGTGGTGGGCTTAGGCTGTTACATACCTATTGGGTAACTTCGAGTTGTTCTGCACCTAACTCGTAGACTTGAAGGCAAGAAAAGATAATCTATGTGATTGTTGCTAACTTAGTTGTCTGACTAGAGCTGAATTTACTATGTTGTGCTGCACCATTAAAACTAATAGAATTGCCAGTTTGGTTCACTAGTCGACTTTATATAACCTGAAGTTTAAGAAACCAAGTCTATTTGTTTGTCCTAAACCACAGGTTTACTGATCTTACTAGTTACTAATTTATGTCGATCATAAACCTACGAACCTATAAACCAACCCATGAATCTATAGCTCGTTCCTTTACATGAACTCGGACAATCCAACTCTAGACTCCATCAACCTAAGTTTCAAACTCTTTGAAACCATATGAACTCAGACTATCCAACTCCAAGCTCCATAAACCTAAGTTCCAAATTACTTGAAATCATGTGAACTCAGACTATTCAACTCCAAGCTCCAAAATCATATGAACTCGGACTATCCAACTCCAAGCTCCATAAACTTAAGTTTCAAACTCTTTGAAACCATATGAACTCAGACTATCCAACTCCAAGCTCCATCAACCTAAGTTCCAAATTACTTGAAATCATGTGAACTCAGACTATTCAACTCCAAGCTCCAAAATCATATGAACTTGGACTATCCAACTCCAAGCTCCATAAACTTAAGTTTCAAACTCTTTGAAACCATATGAACTCAGACTATCCAACTCCAAGCTCCATCAACCTAAGTTCCAAATTACTTGAAATCATATGAATTCAGACTATCCAACTCCAAGCTCCAAAATCGTATGAACTCGGACAATCCAACTCCAGGCTCCATAAACCTAAGTTTCAAACTCTTCGAAACCATATGAACTCAGACCATCTAACTCTAGGCTCCCTAAACCTAAGTTCCAAACTCTTCGAAACCATATGAACTCAGACTATCTAACTCCAGGCTCCATAAACCTAAGTTCCAAACTACTTGAAATCATATGAACTCAGACTATCCAACTCCAGGCTCCAAAATCATATGAACTCGGACTATCCAACTCCACGCTCCATAAACCTAAGTTCCAAACTCTTTGAAACCATATGGACTTGGACTATCCAACTCCATGATCCATAAACCTAAGTTCCAAACTCTTTGGAACCATATGGACTCGAACTATCCAACTCCAGGTTCCATAAACCTAAGTTCCAAACTGTTTGAACCATATGGACTTGGACTATCTTACTCCAGGCTCCATAAACCTAAGTTCCAAATTCTTTGAAACCATATAAACTCGAACTATCCAACTCTAGGCTCCATAAGCCTAAGTTCCAAAATCTTTAAAACCATATGAACTTCGACTATCCAACTCCATGCACCATAAACCACCATAAACCTAAGTTCCAAATTCTTTAAAGCCCTCCAGGCTCCATAAACCTAAAGTTCCAAACACTTTGAAACCATAAGGACTCAGACCATCCAATTCCACCTCAAGGCTCCATAAACCTAAGTTTCAAACTCTTTGAAACCAGATAAACTCGGACTATCCAACTCCAGGCCCATAAATCTAATTTCCCAACTCTTTAAAACCATATGTCAAACATCCCATGGGAACTTATCATCCCGCATTCCTTGTCTTTTCTTCCTGGATTTGGAGGGAAACATGAAAATAAAAGACAAGGGAAACGGGCATCCTATAGTTCATGCAGTAATGGCTGGTGAAGTCCAGAAAACAAGCATTTGACTACCCAAAAGGTGAGAGACACACAGCAGGGGAAGAAATAAAGAAGGTGCAATGCTTAATTTGAATAGATAGCAGAAAGGCATCCTACTACACATGAGCTCTCGTTATCTTATTTTTTAACTGAAATTTCTAACACAACAAGATAATGTGTAGCGTAATTAGGAAAGAACAACCAAGAATTCAGCCCTAATAATTATGCTATGAACAAGGCTAAAAAATATCAATTATGAAATGGTAAGATAGAGTAGCAAAACTCTTCATTTCCACATTACATAAGCATTAAAAAACTCAGATGGCAAGTATTCACGTTCCATCGAGCATGTATAAGAGAAGTAGCGAAAACAGAATACTTTTCTTGATTAAACATAGCGTGAGCGATAAAAATGTGCACGTATATCCATCGAAACTCACCGGTAATCTCCAATGAACGGTCCTATCTAACAAAAAATACAGAGAGATAAACAGAAACAAACGAAAACAAGAGGAAATAAAGAGAATTCAATCGAGCACCTCGCGACGGGAGAGCTCAGCCTTCCAAGCAGCTTCGCGCTCAGCAACCTCACGTTCACGCTCTTCGATGTAACTCTGCATCTCTCTCTCCTTCATGATTCGATCTTGAATATCCGCATCCAAAGCTTCCTTGAGCTCCTCCACGAATTTATCCACCACCGCCTTTATTCTCAGAGACATAGCCAACTCCGCCCAATTACACTTCGAAACCTTCAATTTCTCAATCCAACAACAACAACAACAACAACCTCTCCGAGAATCTCAGTCAGCTACCACAAACGTCTGCAACGAAATTTCTGGTTAGGTTTCGGCATGTGAAGAAGCCATGGCGGATGGTGAATGAATGACTTTCTTCACAGAGGAAAAATGGATGTGAGAGAGAGAGAGAGAGAGGAGAGAGAAAGAGAGAGTGCCCCAAAAGGAAAGAATCAGTGGACCTTAGTCCTAATTGGAGCCGGGCTTTCTACGGCCGCTATTTGCTCTCTAGCCTGGCCCACAAGAAACCGAAACGGTGCGTTTTATTCTACGACGACGACAGCAAATTAAAAAAATAAAAAAAAAACTAATTTCCAAAATTACTTTAAAATATATTTTTAATAATTTAAATAGTACGAAAAATATTTAAAAGTGTATAATTAATTATTAAAATATAGTTTTAAATTAATAAAAACATATTTTAAAATATTTTTAACCAAGATAAAGACAATTTAAATTATTTAAAATTTGTTCTTGGTATATTACTAATATGAGCTAGTAGTGGAGCGGTTTAATGGTTGTTGATTCTACGGTACTTGAAACATAGATTCTCGAGATGCACTATTGGTGTGCAAAACGGTCTGAAATTTAATGACGATTGAGTGATCTGATTGGTGAATAGCTCTCGAAAAGTCTGATTGAGCGGTTACAAGAGAATTATTGATCCCTCTTTCTCATTTTGACCCTTTCGACAAACTCCCCCGAGACCTGTGTCTATTTAGT